CTTGATTCTCCTCCTGTCCCACTATCATGCTCAGTCCCCACCAGGATTTCAGCACTTCCTCTTTGTTACATTCCCCTTGATCATGCCCTACCACCATCACCAATTTCATAACCTTGGGATAGCAGTCGTGCGCTTCTCACATTGGGCATTCAATCTGCTACAGTTGAATTTTAAGTACAATTCAGTTTGCTTAATGGGGTTTTCACATCAAATCCTACTGGTCTGGCCTATGAAGGATGTTATGCACCTCGAAGGGGCAGTCTAAATTCCCAGTAGTCTATAGCACACAGCCTGCATCACTAAGGCCAGGGTAGAAACTAGATCAACAGTGTCCAATTAGGAACGTAGTATTGGGCGTATCCTCCTCTCCTTGGGTTCTATATAAGTAATGTTAAGTGTTCCCATTGAGAGGTTGTTCCACCTTGTTTACTCATTAAAGAAGTGTAATTGCCTTTCCTGAGACATACATACCCCACTACCCGTTCCTTAACTTGGTTTTCCAGTAAGGTTCACTTATCACTCTTACAGAATTGTCTGTTGATTTGGGGTGACCTTAGCACAAAGTAGGAGCCGTTTGTCATAATGGTTATGTATTCCTTACTGCAATGTGCAAGGTAAGCAGTTCGAAAGCCACCAACCGCTCGCTCCACGGGAGAAAGATGAGGCTGTTTATTCCCATGAGTCTCCATGAGTTGGAATCTATTTGGTAGCAGTGAATTTGGTTTGGTTTAGAGTTAGAATAATGTTACATGGTAGCAACTAAATGGTCTTCTCCCTCTCCCCCCATCTTGAGAAACTAACCTCAGCTGAGGTGTGGTCTCCTTTTCAAGTGCTTTTTAAGATGTACATATAAAGGCGGTGCTATATGTTTGATGGGCACTAGGCAGGCTCTTTATCTTGCGACTTGAGAAACTGGATTACTTGACATAAGAGCTAGAAGCCTGCCTTCACCTTGGTGTTTATCATTATAGTAGTGGACTCATATTTGCCCTTTTGTGATTGACTCATTTGGCTCAGCTTAATGGTTTCCAGGTCCAGCCAGGTCATGAAGTGTCTAATGGTTTCATTGCTGTGTTTTAGTTATGCATAGTATTCCATCGTGTGTATGTCACAGTTTATTCATGCTACTGATGGGCATTTGGGCTGTTTTCAGCTTCTTGCTGTCATGAACTGTGCTGCAATGAACACAAGGGAGCACCCATCTGTTCATGCCTGTCTCTTTACTTCTTTGGGGTAAGAAATATCCAGCAGAGTTATTGCTGGGTTGTATGGTATTCCTATTTCCAATTGTTTAAGGTAATGCCATAGAACTTTCCACGATGGTTGTATGTATTTACAAGTATTCCAGTCATGATTGTGATTACACAACTCGTTTTAAAGGCAATTTAACCAGGAATGGAGGTGTGATGTTCTAAAATTGATTTTGGTGATGGTTGTGCAATTCTTCTTGATATGCTTGAACAATTAAACTATTGAATTGTATGATATGTGGATTAGGTGCCAATTAAAATGTAAATTAAAAAAAAAGCTCCAATCTCTCAGCACCCTCTCCAGCATTTGTTCGCAATTTTTTTTTAATCATTTTATTGGGGTCGCCATTTTTTTGAAATGGCCTATCATTGTGGATGAAAGGTGCTATCTTGTCATTGTTTTTACATTTCTTAAGCTGTAAGAACTGCAAGGACAATGGTGGGCCCCAAGTTGCATTATTGAAAAAGTTCAGTGGGCAAACTATAAACCATACAAGAAACATCAAAAGAAAATGGAAGTGATACACAGTCACCATCCTAAAAAGCATTAGTAAATGTCCATTTACTTAAACAAAAATAAAATTTAAACAAAAACAAGTTTTTGTTTATTTTATTTTATTTTTGTTTATTTTAAATGTTATTGAAGGATGCTGTCTAAGCTACACTGAAGGCATTGGCAAAGAAACAAGGATCCAGGAATTTAAAAAATATCTATTGAAAATGTTTCAATACACTGGATGCACCACTGAAGGCACTCATTTGTCTGTGCCAAGAAATTTGGAAGAGAACTACTTGGCCAAATGACTGGGAGAGATCCATACTTGTGCCCATTCCAAAGAAAGGTGATCCAACAAAATGCAGAAATTATCTAACAAAATCTTTAATATCTTGTGCAAATAATATTTTGCTGAAGTTAATTCAAAGACAGTTGCTGCAGCACTTCAACAGAGAGGTGACATAAATTCAAGCTCTGTTCAAAAGAGGACATGGGAGGAAAGATATCATTGCTGATGTCAGATGGATTTTGACTTAAAAGTAGAGAATACCAGATGTTTACTTTTGTTTTATTGTCTATTCAGTTGTGGGGCTCATAACAAATTAAGAATAGCATTTTGAAGAATGGGAATTCCAAAACTCTTAATGATGTTGTGCAGAGTCTGTACAGGGACAGTTGTTTGGACAGAACAGGGAATACAGACTGTTTAACAGCAGGAAAGGCCTTGTATTCTACTCCCCAAATGTCTCAACACTATAGTCACAAGAAGTGGAAGCATTGAAATGAAATAGGACATGTATAAACAAATCTGTGAGTTTCACTGTGACCAGAGGTTGTTTTTGTTTATTTTATTTTATTTTTGTTTATTTTAAATGATACCATAATGAATCATGTATTTGTAAATGGTACATAGATATAAAGAAACGTACTAGATAAATGGTAAAGGCTATTGGTGGACTTAATAAAAATATTCAGTAAGTTAGGAATTCATTTTCTACAGAAATGACCAATAAACTTTTTGAGATGATGGCAGTGTTCTGTTTCTGTGATGTACAGTATGGAAACCACTGACGAGGGTGGCGGCTGAACACTCTTACTGTGGCTAGAATGAAGAGCCTAATGTTAATTTTAATTAGTTTAAGTATTCACATTGAACCTAGTAACTAACCAAATTGGGTAGTGCAGTTCTAGAGGACAGGAAAGACTACTTATCTTTTAGGCCATGTGAGAATAAAGTAGCATTAAGTTCAAGACTATTTTCTCCACTGGATACAGAAATCCTCTATTTCTGATTTCCGGTAATCGCAGAGACTGTTGTTTTAAGATTGCTAATGTTGGTTTTGTCTTTAAGCTACTTTTTTTATTTTTGAACTTTAAAATGAACTCAGATACTTGAGTAGTACATGTTTGATTTTTTTCTATATTAAGAATTAGCAAATAGAGATTGTTAGGCATATATACTACAGTTAAATTTTTTTCATAAGATTAAGATATTACTTAATAAAAATAGAAAACGATGGGTGTACTGATATAGGATTATTTTCCTCCAGTTTCCAGAGTGTGGATTTTTTGGCATGTATGATAAAATTCTCCTCTTTCGCCATGACATGAACTCAGAAAATATTTTGCAGCTGATTACCTCAGCCGAAGAAATACATGAAGGAGACCTAGTAGAAGTTGTTCTTTCAGGTAAGTAGATAGCTTCTTTTATTTTGTTGCCTTTTTTTTAATCATTGAGTCTCATTTCTGGACTAAGCATTCTGTTCAACTATATTTGGTCTTTGCACTGTATCTGGTTACTTCTTTTTACCTATCTATAATAGTAATCCTTCCAGGAAAGTTATCACAAATGAACAAATAAGACAGTAGCCCTGAATTACTTATTTTGGTGTCACTAAGTTAAAGGAACTATTACTTGAACGGAAAGAGGAATATAAGGGGGTTTCAAAAAATTTGTGGAACATTCCATTTTATTTCCATGTTTCCATGAATTTGTTGGAGCCTCCTCATATTCTGTTTCTTTCTCTCTACTTCTACGAAAAGCCTAAAAGAATGGAACGGGTTCAGAAGAGAGAATCGGAGAGGTGACATGATGGCAGTGTGGAAGCAGGAATCGTGACACTGGTGGTTTCCTTTTAGTTCTCACTGAGCATTTTCCTATCTCTCTCTCTCTCTCTCTCTCCTTTTTGTTCACACCATTTCTTGACCCCTTTTTGTCCCTTGAGCTGACCACTATTTCTTCTCTCCTCCAACAAATGGGGAGGATTATTAGTAAGTAGTTATAAAATAGCATGGGAGCAATGCCTGACCTCCTCTGACTTCATGAAGAGAAGAATCAAACAACATCAGTCCAAGGCTAATTACTCTCAGACGTCAGACGGAGCTGTGGCATGTCTGCACCCTCCACCAACTGCCCCTTTAAAGGCACACGCTACTTCTCTGCTCGGTTAAAACATTACATTGGCCACATGAAACTACAACAATGCTTACAATTACTGGGTTTATTAGGGAAATACCTAGTTAAAAACCAGGGTTAGGAACATTCAGGATCCAGTTCTTGGGTCAGGACAGACTCTTCTCAGTCATGCTTGCAAACACACCCAAATCTTCAACTTTGTGGCCTGTTGGGGAAGTATCACAAAGCTCTGCTAGCTCCTCTCAGTCCGATGGCTACTTGGCCTCCGCCCGACTTATACGGACAAGTGTAGTCCTGCGTGTTGAGCACTCACCCATGCCAGCCAGTGAGCCTTGGTCTTCAGGTGCTTGGCTCTAGCTCTGTGAATTAGCAAACTGATCTCCCTCCAGTTTAGATACCTGGAGGCAGTCTACTCATCCAGCAATCCTCTTGGTGACCTCAAATACCTCATATTTGTGTAATCCCATCCAGTCTTTTGGTAGGAATTATAAGCCCTCTAACTATGGTTAGATGGGCCATATCAAGTAGTTAACTGCACTGCAACTCCACAGTGGGATTGACAGAGTTTCCAAGCAGTTAATTTTATCTTTTAGGCAGGGTTTTCATTATAGACCTGCAATACCTGGTAGACCCGCATATTTTTTGTTTGCCAGAAAAGGAGAGAGGAAGAAAGGAAAGACAAAAACAATCCATTAACCAAGGATCTGGAGTTTTGTTTTGGTTGGTTTAAAATCATTTTATTGGGGGCTCATACAGCTCTTATCACAATCCATACATACATCCATTGTGTTAAGCACATTGTACATATGTTGCCATCATCATTTTCAAAACATTTTCTTTCTACTTGAGCCGCTGGTATCAGCTCCTCCTTTTTTTCCCTCTCTCCCTCAGGAACCCTTGATGATTTATAAATTATTATTTTTCATGTCTTACACTGACTGATGTCTCCCTTCACTCACTTTTCTGTTTTCCATCCTTCTGGGAGGGGGTTATATGTAGAACCTTGTGATCGGTTCCCCCTTTCTCTCCCTACCTTCTCTTTCCCCTCCTGGTATCGCTACTCTCATTATTGGACCTGAGGGGTTTATCTGTCCTGGATTCCCTGTGGGATCTAGAGTTTTACCACCACGATTTTTTCCTAAACTCTTCTTTGCAGCCTATTCTTAAAACCCTGTCCCCTTTTCCCGGCTAGCCACCACGTCTCTCATATTTTGGAATCTTCCCATTCATCTTAGCCTTGCATTACCCTTCCCTGGTCCTTTTTCCTCTTCAGTACTGAAGGCCTTCACTCCGCTCTCCCTGGAGGTTCACGTTCGTTCTTTACTGTGGACCCCTCATCAGACTGTAGCAACAGTCGCTAACGACTTGCAGGTGGGCAGGAGAGAAAGGTCCTACTGCTTCATTGCTTTACTGAGAGAGAGGTGTCTCTTTCTTTTAGCCACTAGCACTGTGGAGGATAGACAGCATATCTTGGGACCCCAGTGATTTTTTCCTACAGAAGCATTGCTGTAATTGAGGTATAAGTTCCATTGCATATTTAGCTTTAGTCTTCTATTTCCCAATATTATACATTAAACTTTTTAATGGGGATAAGTAGGCCTAACAACTATTTTTAATCTTGTTGCTATGAGAAAATGCCTTCAAAAGTCCAAATATCTAACCTACAGATCTAAATTTATAGCTCAAATTATTTGAATATTAAAACCCTAATATTAAGTCCTGAAAATTTTTCATGTGGTCAGATGAAACTTGTAGAGATTATTGTGTGCTTACTTAATATATATCACTTTACATATATGTAAAATATTTATTTTATCTAATGTATATATTTTTTAAAGCTTTGGCTACATTAGAAGACTTCCAGATTCGTCCACATACTCTCTACGTACATTCTTATAAAGCTCCTACTTTTTGTGATTATTGTGGTGAGATGCTGTGGGGATTGGTACGTCAGGGACTGAAATGTGAAGGTGAGTAGTTAAACATTTTTGGAATCATTTGAAGTAGGATTTTACAGCTTTCTGTTTTTCTCATGATTAAGTGTGTTCTTTAGTAATCAGTGAAAGCACAAGGTCATTGGTGGTGACATTTGGGATTGAGCGATCTGGACTCTGTCCCTGACTCCTTTTATGTGCCCATATTCTCAGGAAACTTAGTAAACCTCCCTGAGCAACAGTTTCTCTGTAAAGTATCATTTACCTGATGGGTTTTATGAAGAGTAAATGGCTAAAGGCTGGAGCCCTGGTGGTGTAGTGGTTATACATTGGGCTATGATTCACATGGTCAGCAGTTCGAAACCACCAGCAGCTCCTCAGGAGAAAGACTGAGGCTTTCTACTCCCGTAAACAGTTACAGTCCTAAAAACCCACAGGGGTTCACTATGAGTCTGTTGATTTGAAGGCAGTGAGTTTGGAGGTGGAAATGCTTAAATGAGGCTGTGAGCCCCCTCCTCCATCCCCGCCTTCCCCCCAAAATATATAATCCTTCCAATTGATTTCAATTTATAGCAACCTTGTAGGGCAGAGTAGAGTTGCCCCATAATATTTCCAAAGCTATAATCTTTACTTACACGATCGACTCACAAGGTCTTTTCTCCTGTGGCATAGGTGGTGGGTTTGAACTATGGAACTTTTGGTTAACTGCCAAGCACTTAACCATTGTGCCATCAGGGATTTTAAAATTAGGTTTATTCTACCTAGTTTTAAAACCCTGGTGGCATAAAATGCTGGACTGCTGACCAAAAGACTAAAGGTTTGAACCCGAAAAGACCCAGTGATCTCCCCTAAATATTACAGCTTTAGAAATCCTTGGGACAGTTATCCCCTGTTCTGTAGGGTCTCTGGAGGAGCCCTGGTGGTGTAGTGGTTACTTGTCAGCGATTTTAAACTATTAGCCGTCCTTGGGAGAAAGATGGGGCTTTCTGTTCCTGGAACAGTCTCGGAAACCGAGGCAGTTCTCCCCTGCCCTGTAGGGTGGCTCTGAGTTGGCATCCAACTCAGTGGCAGTGAGTTTGGTTGGTATAAGATCTCTATGCGTGGGAATCAGTGTGACACACAACACGAATAAAATACTTGGTACAAAGTAGTTCAGTAAATATTAACTTTCTTACCTATTTGTAATCTCAAAAAAAAAAATCAGTCTTTCACATACCACAAAGTCAACTTTAATGCTTTCGCTTTCACAAAATCACCATGTTTTCTATCTTAAAATCCTAGTTTTACTTGAAAATGGTGTTTTTCATTAACATTCCCATGATGATTTTGCTTTCGGCAATGGAAGACAAGTTATAGTGAGTATATAAAGTTAAAAGGTAGCAGCTTCTACAGAGTTCTACATTTTAAGATTATGTATTTCAAAGTGGGCGAAGTGTTTCGTTGGAATCTGAAAACGGCGGACACATTATATCTCGTTTGCTCACCCTTTCCTCGGGGTGTTTGAGCCGCCTGTGAGTGGGACAGACACCGTCCTTCCGCTAGTGTTGGCTCTGAAAGTCATCTTTCAAACTTTTGACCTAAAGCTTAGCTGTCCTGAATAATATTTAAGGAGGAAGAACTAGAAATAATTGATAAAGTAATTAGCTAGAATTCAGGCAGCACATAATTATGTTTGAGGTACGAGGGCTGGTCATCTTATTTAATTATTCCAAAGCTGGAAGAAAGATATTTTACCAATGAAGGGTCTGAAACTCAGCCAACACAAATGACTTATGTAAGACGACCTAACTAATGTAGCAAGGGAGAATTAAAACCCATGTCTGTATAATTTATCAACATCATAATTGTCAGTTAACATTTGTGGTGTACTTCACTTTATGCCAAGGATTGTCATGAGTTAAAAACGTAATTCTTACAGAAAACGCTCTGAGGTACTTCCTATTCCCATTTTATTAAAAAGTTGGAGAAAGGTCACCAACCTACTAGCAAGTTAGAACCAGGATTTGAAAGGTAGTCTGAGTCTAGGGCCCATTCAACTCCCAGTCACAAGGCAGTACACCAAGCTATAAGTATACTTTCTAATTCAAGTTTCACCATGGTGCAATAGTTATTGCTAGCATTATTTTAATATTAAATGATGCGTTTTAAATGTTAGGTGCCTTTTTCACAAACTCTTCTAAAGCCATATAGGAGTTATGTGCTGGTAGAGGTAAAATAGTTCATAAGAACCAACTTGTTGAGACAGTGGACTAGGAAATTGTTTAACACAGTGTCACAGCATTTCTCCCTTTACAGAAACAACCAGGCCATTCAGCTGAATTACATGGGCAATTTAAAAAAATACACTCAAGAGGGCCACCTTAGAATTGACAATTAGAATCTGTGGAAGACTTGGGTACACTCCAGGTTTTGAATGAAAACAGTTCTCAAAAGTGGTGTCTTGGAAGGTTTTTGGGTTTTTTTTGTAATAAACCAGAGAGTAAATATTTTAGCCTTTGGGGGCCATATGGACTCTAACTGTGACTTAACTCTGCTGTTGTAGCAGGAAGCCAGCCGTAAACAATATGTAATCAAACGAGCATTGGTGTGTTCCAATAAAACTTTATTTATGGATGCTGAAACTTGGATTTTATGTGATTTTCACGTGCTACAGAAGGAAGTTGGTCTGCAGGCTTGTTTCCTGGCCGGTGCTTTAACCTAAAGGTTCTCAAACTTTACTGCGCATCATTATCACCTGGTGGCAATTACAGAACACAGATCGCTGGACCGAACCCCAGCTTTTCTGCTTTAGTAGCCCTTGGGTAGTAGAGCTTAATAGTTTACTTTTCTAACAAGTTTTCAACTGGTGTCAAAGAGACCACATTTCAAGTACCACTGCTATAAGTTAACTGACTCTTTTTACAGAGTTTCCTATAGTTCTTGAATTAATTAACTTCTACTTAGCCTGCCATCTAAGTTCTTTACTTAGGGTAGGTATTGTTGCCAGGGAAAATAAATGAAATAAAAAGTACATTTAAAAATATATATCATCATACTTGCATGGACGCTTCAAAAAGTTTGTGGGAAAATTCCATTTTCCATTAACTGTTTTAAGCCCTCTCATACATAGTAAGCTTCTTATATTTTACCTTTTGAACTATAATTAGGCTGTGGATTAAATTATCATAAACGATGTGCCTTCAAGATTCCAAATAACTGTAGTGGAGTAAGAAAGAGACGCCTGTCAAATGTATCTCTGCCAGGACCCGGCCTGTCAGTCCCAAGACCTCTACAGACTGAATGTGTAATCCCTTCCAATGAAGAGGTATGTATTCTGATTAACGCAATGGCATTTTACTAGTTTTTCTCTATTCCTTTAGAGTTTAGGACATCATCCTAGATGGTAATTTATATACTAAAAATTAGGAGCTTTCCTATACATAAGAAATGTAAACTGCGATCGTGGATATATTGTAATAGTAGATAAATGTAATAGTGGGTAGATGTGGCTAAGGATGTTCCAGGAATGATGAACTGCATTTTGCATACCTTGGGGTCACATTATTTATCACTTGGACCTCTGTGATAAACTTCCAACCAGGTGTCTCAAGCTGCTGTTCTCTTCGATTCCTCTTAAACACTGCAGATCAAATTTCCTAATACACGTCTCTGAGCATATCGCTTTTCACTAGGGAGCCCTATATCTTCCATGTTTCTGACAAGCCGCTATCCAGCATTCCCTGAACACACCTGTGCTCCTACCTCCCTTTGCTCTTGGTGGTATCCATTCCTCATGCTTTTTCCAGATGTAACTCAAAAGCTACCTTTCCTTCCTTACCTTACCTTCTCCCAGTTATTTTTTTCTGAATTATAGTGCTTTGGTCACCCCTCCTCTGTAGTGCCTATAGCACTTTGTCTTGTAAAGTTTGCATATTAGGATAGTCTTATTTGGAGGAGACAAGGCTCATATCTTTATGTGCCTCTCATTGCCCTGCTTAATGCCTGGGTACTTAGTAGGTACTCCATGAGGAAGGAATGAGTGAATGACTGACCTTGCTGATTCTCTATACATATCTACTCAGACATGTAAATCTGCACACAGATAAGGCCATTGAAATTCAGGTATGTGACTTGTCTGAAATCCAAAATCAATTAGTAAAAGATATTATAATGTAGATTTCATCTTTTTAAAAATGTAGATTTCACAAACGATAAAAATGTAGTACCCCCTCCCGTTCCCCCCAAACCCTGATAATATGCCATCCCTTTCAAGGAAAAAAGGATAAGAATAGAACATGGGAAAAGAAAGAAATAGCTTCCTGTATACTGATACTTGATAGTACTTGAAATTAATTTCATCCATATGTTGCAGGTTTTTGTCATTTACCTGTAAACCCTTTGGTTTTCTATAAAGTAAAGTCAAATCAAGCCTTTGGGATTTCTGTCTTGTTACCCTAGTCATAAGACTATTCTAAACAGTCACTTCTGAAATCTTTTCACTAAAATCTCATATACATAGTATGTAATCCTAGTGTGAGATTTATAAAGGGAAGAGTGCTGTGGCATAAGGAACTAGGATGGGAGTGAAGGACTATTGAAAAGTTTCAGTGTGTACCTGAGGTGACTGTGAAGAGTCAGGGAGGGATAAGCCAGATGCTGGGTCCAGAAGATGTGCTCCATTCCTGCCTTTTGCCAGTGATGAGATCCCAGCCCCTGCATCTCAGAGGCCTCGTTTTTATACACAGCAGGATGGCACTCCAAGGAATCCAGTTAAAATTACTCACAGGCAAATCCTCTCAGTAATTACCCATATCTTCTTCACAGATCCTTGTAGGGAAAGGTTGTTTGGTGGGAGATAACACTGAGTATCAATAGTGCAGTCAAATTTAACTTATAATCCTTAACCTCTTTAATGATGCTCCTGTTCTCCACTGCTGGACCATATCTTATTTATGCGTATATGACCTGGACCCTCTGGCAGATATTTCCAGTAGGCATTGCCTTCCTACTAATCTTCATTAGCTAGGCTTTTCCCAGCCATTCCGAAAGCAGCTTTTTTTCCCCTCTCAGCTGTCGCATAGCATTATTTACATCCATTACAAGTAACAGTACCCCAGATAACCATTAAACAAAGAATGTAGTCCGATTCACACCCTATATAAGGTCAGGTCATGTTCTCTTCCCTATTTCCCTATTTCGGTAGATATTCCTATCCCATTTCTTTGTAGGTAATGCCTTCCAAATGACTGTAGTCATAGTTCTATGAAATCTAGAATTTTAATCTATCATATAAGGGATTATGACAGCATTGGAGGGCCATATTAATTAAATACAACCCAGATATGAGTGGGGTCCATGGATGGTGCAAATAGTTAACACACGTAACTGCTAACTGAAAATGTGGACATTCCAGACTACCTGCGTATAGTTACACACATAACTGCTAACTGATAATGTGGACATTCTAGATTACCTACTGGAAGAAAGGCCTGGTGGTCTACTTCTCAAAAAACAGCCACTGGAAGTCCCAGGGGCACAGTTCTACCTGGTGACACACATGGGGTCACCGTTGATGACAACTAATCTTTTCACTGGCTATGACAAATAAGGTGACTGCTACAGCCACAGTACCCTGAGAGGCCGCTTGTATACATGCGCTGTATCAGTGTTTCCCAAAGTGTAAGATATGGAATGATTTAGGGGACAGCAAAATGCAGGCGTAGACATCGACACTTTATCTGGGATTATAACCTGTAGTACAAAAGTTGTTACTTTCCAGCAGGGCACTGAATAATTGTTTTTTGTCTTTTTCCTTTTCCCCTGAAAAAGGGGATGGTAGGCTAAATAAACTTGAGAACTTATGTTCTATCATAGCCCTATGCCCTTGATCTAGGGGCAGATTAAGCAGTAACCATAGTACTCACCAGCATATAGTAAGATAGGTATGCAGGGGCTACATTGTATTTACTTACTAATCTGTAGTGAACTCTTTCACCTGCGTTTCACCATGTGGAAGATGTGCTGACTCCTAGGTGAATTGTGACAACAGATTGATAAGCACAATTAAGGCTTTAATGCTATCTTGCTTACTGAGTTGTCTGCCTCTGACATGATCCAAGCATACCTGACCCAAAGCCAGTCTCTAAGAAACTCTTGGCATAAAAAGAGACCTCGTGTGAAAACTCTGCCTTACAGTTGTAATCTATATACTTTATGATGAATGGCTCAATCGGTCATACTCTGTCTTGTGTGTTTTGGCCTTGAAACACAATGAGAGTGGTTGGAATGGGAGTAACAGAAGCAGAGGAGTAGATGAGTCCTCCTTAGAACATGGAGCCAGGAAGGAGAAAGGATCTGAAACATTGCTTTCTGGTTCTTGGTTCTTTCTTAGCTCTGCATTATCACAGCAATGTTCCTTTTCCCTTGTGTTCAAAAAGTTCATGGAAAAGTGGAATTAAAAGATAATGGGATTTTCCTGTGACCTTTATAAAGCCCCGTTGGGTATATTTTTAACTTTTGTTAAAATAAATTTGAAATATTGAGGCAGCTTCAAAACATTTTCAGATAACATGTTTAATAATTCAACATGATCAGCAATAAGGTTTCATAGATTTATTGATTTTTTCCTGTGAGTAATTCCTTAGGCTTTTGAAGGGATTTGAACATCTGTTATGAATTAAGGTTTGGTGTGTGTGTGTGTGTGTGTGTGTGTGTGTGTGTGTGTGTGTTTTATTTTTAAAATGATATATGTACCCAGCAAGCAATAGTTGAGTGGTGAATGTGTATATGAAAATATCTTGGGTTGATAGTATCTTAGTTTTGTTTTTTAATAAAAAATTCTGTGCTTTCTTCAGTCAAGCCTTAGTAAGTTAAGCTTCCAAAGGAAAGTGCTGTACTCCACGTTTTTTGGCTGGAGTATCTCAGATAAATGGCTCTGTGGTCAAACCCTGCTCGTAATACTTTGTCTTTAATCTGGCTATGTTTACGAAAATTATGTTTCAGTTACATATTCACCAAGAACCAAGTAAGAGAATTCCTTCTTGGAGTGGTCGCCCAATCTGGATGGAAAAGATGGTGATGTGCAGAGTGAAAGTCCCACACACGTTTGCTGTCCACTCTTATACCCGCCCCACAATATGTCAGTACTGCAAGCGGTTACTCAAAGGCCTCTTTCGACAAGGAATGCAGTGTAAAGGTAGGATTAGATGTTTTCCTACAGTTAATTCATATCCATTTTTGTTTAAAATATTTTTAGTTCAGAAGCTTTAGCCAAATAAATTTATAGTCTTTTTGTTTGTTTGTTTTTAAAACTGGTATGTGAAGGTATAGTCAAGTATCTTTTTTTTTTTTTAGATCCAGAATTTTTTATTGTTCATGTATGCAAGCAGATAACAAACATTCACTAAATGCTGCTTTAAACTTTGAAAATACAAGTTGATGGTACAACTATTAATCAGAAATATATCAAACTTTGATATTTTCTTGAAAAGAACAAACCTATAAGTGAAATTTGAGTTACTTTTTTTTTTTTGCTTTTCAACATTTTTTTTAATCATTTTATTAGGGGCTCATACAACTCTTATCACAATCCAGACACACATCAATTGTGTAAAGCGCATTTGTACATTCAT